GCAGTCCTCAAAATATGTAAATGCTTTGTATACTTAATTTTAGGGCTTAAATTCTACATATTTGAACTTCAAAAAATTTATAAACTTACCCACTAGCATTTAGGTTTGGAAAATAAATTGTTGAGAATCTCAAGATCACAGGGGAAAGGGAAGCTTATTGTCAAAAAAATACAGAGCTGAGTGAACTTCTAGAAAATATTTCTCATCCTCTCATTGTGCCCAACAAAATGAACAGAAGAATGAAGAGACAATTTTGTTTTGGTGAAACATGTGGAGCACATAGTAAAGGAAAAATTGATAAGAATAGATGGCACACATGGGTATAACTTGTTTTCTTATTCTAGGTCTGAAGCTCATCGAGAGCTGCTGAAAATTCTACTCTGATCCCAGGTGAATAGACTTGAATGCCCAGTTGTCTGGATGTCATGGTCCAGGCAGTTGGGTTCAGCACAAGAAGTCCAAACTGCTGAGCAGCACAGTGGGGTGAAGACAGGCAGAAAATGCTAATGACAGCACACGCTTCCCCTGCAATTACCACCCTTGCTCCTTGCGAATGCAGACCCGGTGGCTCATTAACCTGATCCAGCCCATCTCCTCTTGAAATATTCTCACATTCTGCCTCTCACATCTGACCAGGTTAGCTGTGATCCCCAGTGCATCTTTAGAAATAGGGACTTTTGCTTACTTTTATCCTTTACCAGAGCCAAATTACCTTTGAGGTGATCCATGCAACTCAGAAACTATCACTAGTTTTCTAAATCCTATAAGCAACAACCAGACAAGCCATAGTACTCCTCCCATAGGTATTTGCAGCCTAAAAGAATCAGGAGCACCTTCTTCTCCGCTCCACATTTCTGTCCCTGATATCAGAGTGTGTGCTTGGCCCAGGTGTCCAGTCTCCCAGAGCAGTTCAGAGTTGTGGAGAAGTTACCAGAAGCTGGTTCTCATGCACTGCACAAGAACACAGGCTTCACAGGATCCCAAAGACCTGAGCTCACCGACTCAGAATAAGTGGTTTGTTTATGTCTAACCACTGGTAAATTAAACACCGCAGCAAAAAGAGGCCAACGGAAGGAAAAAGAGAAGGAAAGTTCCACAAAATACTATCAGAAATCAAACTTACATCTCCCTTCATACAACAGATTACCTGCTTGCTTCAGTTCATGCTTGGGTGACTCCCCATTTTCAAAAATGAGTGATGAAGTAAGCAAGTACCCACTTCAGCTTTTGTGGTTCAAACACTGGAGCACTGGAAGTATTTTATTCCTTCCCCCTTTTTTCCCCAGCTAGTGTTGAGGCCAAGGCAATGACAATTTTTTTTTTTTTTCCAGAGTCAAACTAACAGATGAATCTGTACAAAAGGAGAAAGATAGTCAGCCAGAGATATATATCTTGGGTTCTGTTTAGTAGGTGGAATCAGAAATATGGAGACTTAAGCCTATCAATATATTTTCAGAGACTTGTGTAATAATAGCAATTGAGAGCTTTTATAGCTACACAAATCTGTCAAACACCACTTCAATGATATTTCAGGAGGGAATTGGGCAAAAAGCTTTTTACAGAGGTTTAGGGAAGTTCTGTCACACCTGATCTATTAGATACTGCTTTTAAGTATTGCAACAGCACCTCTGTGCCCACGGTAGAAGAGGGAGGGCTATCAGGGAAGCCTAAGCTGAAATAGAAAAGACAGTAACTCTTCTGAGGCAGACAAAAGCTCCTCCTCAAAAGCACACTTTTGATGCTAGTGTAGGATGAGGAAACTAGATTTGACAAGAAACAGAGCAGGGATATCCAAGAGGTTCAAACTATGGAAAAAAATATTCACTAAAACAGAAGAAAGTTTCTTTTCCAAAGTGACAAATTCATGTTTATATTAAAAGAAAAATCATGACCTTCAAAACAGAACCTAATTATTCCAGCCACTAGCACAGAGCTGAGGACTTAAACCCTAAACAAAACAGAGTAGCATGTTTTATTTATAAGAAAGCCATACTAAGATTGTTCATTAGTCTCCCTCCTGAGATGTTACGAGACAGCTTAGATTTTATTCACACTGCATATATTTGTAATACATACTGGAATTAAGAAATTTTACAGAAAACAGATTGCAATTTTTAAAACATTCCTTTTAGTTGGACACACCAAAGGTTTCAGCTAATTTGCATGTATACATAGGCAGGTTTTATTTAAAATTTATCTTTCTCTATTTGCCTTTCCTTTTTTTCTTTCCCTCCTATTGGCACAGAAATGGCTTGAGTTCACTGACATGAAGCATTATAGTGTTGGGGAGGGCATTCTATCTATCATTCTGGTCTTCACCTTTCTTCTCTCTTGGGTGAGAGTACAAATGGGCTGCCCTTTAGGATGACTCAGCTTCAATATCACCCAGCAGCCAGCTGCCCTTTTAGGTTTGTACCTACTTATCCCAGTCCTTCTGCTTCTTAAATTAAACACTGCTTAGGTCAAAAATAAACTGTCTGACCAGCCAATGACCTTGCTTAGATCCCAGTTTAGCTTTTGAATTGCTAATATCCTTCTACACAAAATATGCCTCTTAAGAGGTGTCAGGGCATTTACTGGTCTTTGTCCCTACATATATTCCTAGACAAGGTGACAGCTGCACAGCAAGCACATCAGTTCTCTGGTTACCATTTATGCTCAGCATGGAAAAATTATCTGGAAATTGCCACTGGTACTGTTTTTGACCTGTGCTCTCTCCCTGTGCTTCCCTTCTACTTTACCAAGTATATTTAATGGATTAGCAATAACATCTAGAGAGAAAAAGCCCAATAAAACAGTAGAAACAAGAATCAAGGAAACCCTGTTCATCTGGGCCAAGTGGTTGAGACTTGCTTATTGCTGTGCCCTTCCAATGGGCGCAATCAATATATTGAGTGGATGCCACCAAGGGGCTTAATTCCCAGTAAAAGTCTGCTCAGTTTGAGTTGTCCACATTAATTCTAAAGGCACACCCCTCATAACTATTATACCAGCTACGAATCTGAAGAAAATTAGCTAAAACCCAAAGCACTTAGAACAGTGAATAAGGCAAGAACCTGAAAATGTGTTGCAGAAGGGAGAAAGGAAAAGCCTTTGGAGTCTGGAAAAGTAACAGAGACGTTATCTCTGCTTTTATCTTGCTCAGGCAAAAACCCTAACTCAAAATAACATAATCAAGAGTAAACACTTTGTAGGCAGGATGACTTGGAAAAAGGCAAGACCAAGTTACTTCCTTTTTAGGTCTCCTGGCATAAAATTTTAGATATCTCAAATGTTAGAAGATGTCCTGTCTGTCACAAACAAAAATTGCTGTTTCCTGGAAAAGCACAAATAAGTTTTTGAGCAAGGTCTAATTATTAAAAAAAAAAAAAAAAAAAAAGATAAATACTTGCTAAGATTGTGCCCTCTTTTTGGGTTGTAATTTTTCATTCATTCTGATTACACAGCTGTTGTTATAAATTAAATATCCACCCTAAATCCTGTTCTCTTCATTTATTCCAAATATTTGATAGAACTTCTTTGACTTTCTTAACTTTTTAGATAGTGAAAAATGAACGGAGTAGTTTTTAAAATTTTTTTTAAGTACTTTAAATGCTTCCAGTTTAATGGCCATTGCCAAGCTCTATTTGGAAATAATTTTTTCATTGACATTGAATGACTGTAAATGCGAGAGAGAAAATAAGAGCAAAACCAAGAAAAAAATTACAAACCTACCCTCTCTGATAACAAAAAAAAGTCGAAGGCTTCTGAATACTGGTAACTGACAGAGAGAATATGAGCCACAAAAGAATTTTCTGCTGCAATCTTGAAGATGAAAAGTCAAAGCACTTGACTGAAACAGAGGATAATTAGAGTTTTTAACAAAAAACTGAGGTAGCTTTTGATTTCAGTTTTTCTTCCAGAGAATAGGAAGTCACAGCTGGGCTTAGGAGGAGATAAACGGGCTGAGTGCACCTACAGAATACTGGTATCCTCATCTGGTATTCCCAAGGATATCCAAGATCTACTCTGAAGATGATCTGTCCAGGGAAGACAATCCACGCTCTCTGTTTCCTTCACATTTTCCAAAAGAATACACTAAATGGATACAAGTGTTCCTAAAATTAGGGATTACGAGCCAAACTGTTTTAATAGAAAGTTGCAAAGAAGCAAATGCAGGTTGCACCCAGAAACTAGTACAGGAAAATACTACCTGGAGTCTAACAGCAGAATATTCCTCTCAAAACCCCCTGGTTTTATAGACTACCAGCAGCCTTGTGTGTTCCACCCTTGCTGTCCCGAGTGGCTCAGTTGCACACAGGGGCTCCAGAACACCTACTTTGACACAGCTTTGATTTAATCTCCCAGGCACGGAGGAAATTTTTCTTCAACATTTCTAAGAAAGGGAACGAGCATTTTAGATATTGCTTTCATTTATGCATTACAATTATCCCAGAGCATTTTTTTTCTGTCCCTTAGATGAAGGAACCAATCTTTTCATATTTTGCATCATGTCTTTATTTCTCTTCAAGCTCCTGACACATTTCTTCTGCATTTTCATGTACAGATAGTAATACAGCTTGAGCAGTCTATTTTGTCAGGGGAAGGAAAAGGAAAATAAAGGAAAATAAAGGAAAATAAAAGGAAAATAAACTTAATTTTCCTTGAGGTAAAACAGAGCAAGTTACATCCTCCTGTAAAAGAGAAAATGGTCTGGATCTCATGCTGCTTGCAAAGCTGTCTTATTCTGAAAGCTGACTTGGTGCTTCTACTTAATGTTTGCACCCTGGAAAGTGAATCAAAGTAAGTTTAAAAGGCTGACAAGCCTTTGCTTCCGTCTTTCAGTGGAGGAGATGAAGCTGAAAGCAGCAGCATTCACTGATGCTGGCCTCTTGAATGAATTTAGTGTCTACAGAGACAAAATAAAAAGCAAAATCAGTCCTGTAAGATGAGAAAATGAGAAAAAAAAAAGAAGAAATAAAACAAATTACTTTGACAAGTAAATATAAAATAAACTGCAGACTCCTTCCAAATACTACTAAGTGTGAACACTGTCAAAAATATAATTTAGAAAGTAATTTAGGTTCAATGGTTAGCAATCGTTTACCTACCTCTGTCTACTGCTGGTCCTCCTCTTCCATGTTTTCATTAACTCAGCAAAGTCACATACATTTGCAGAGGGAAAAAGCCTTGCTGTTATCACCCCCTAGAGAAATTGCAGAGAGAATTCAAATCTGTGCGAACGCAGAGACAGGAGACGGTAGAAAGAAGTAAGTGGAAAAAACCCCATTTATTTGTTGTCTCCCACGATACAACTCATTTAAACATAAGGAAATATAAAAAATGCAGTGGATGTAAACTTAGGGAAGTATAATCAGCTCAATTGCTTAAAATCTTTTCTTGGAGGATTGACAGAATTTGATCCCAAAGCTACTAAATACTTCCACCTTGGTAATGGTAAATATGTAATGAACGGCAAATTATTCAGTTGATCTTTAGAGGTGCCAGTGGGGTAATTGTCAAGAACCTTTCATTCAGCTTGTTCTTAATATGGTTTGGAACAATTACACTAAAAATAAACAGAATGGTTTTCCAAAAGTATGCCATTGTTGACTTTGCACAGGAACGGCCAGGGTCCTATAAACCAGGTGTTGCTGTAGCATATTGGAAACGAAAGGCAACAATTCAGAATTTGTATAAGTGATATTATGCACACTACAGTGCCTCGCTGATTCATGCAAAAGAGGTTCTTCGCAGCGCTTTAATTGGCACTTAACTCCTTTTACAGCTTGTTCACCGAGACAGCCTGCATGAAGTAGTCAAAGTGTAGCTGAGAGTACTATAAAACACATCTTTACAGGAAATAGGAACATTCATTTGATAATTGGCATGAAATCTTGGCCATATTAGATTTAAAAATCATTAGTCTCGCATCTGTGAGATGTTGAGTGCTTTTTGACCTGCGGGCATGCACAGCAACCAAGAGCACTGGCTAAAGCGCCTGGAGGCACCTGTCAGTGTGAGCTGCCTGGTGCCAAACCTGGCTCCAGCCCCTGCGGATCACCCTCCGAGCCTCAGCCACATGCACAACCCTAACAAAAATTACTCAGAGGTTTCTTGGAGTCAGCAGTATATTCACCCACTCGTGTTACAAGGTGTCTCACAATAACTCCATTTCAAGTGACAGCATACAGTTTGGCTGCAGACCTAGAGGTGCGGGAAGAGTAGTAAATAATGCATTCTGCAACGAACAGAAAATACTTGTTCAACAAACCCAACATATTCCTTAGGAGCAGGCTGGCTACTGAATCTTTTTGACAAAAGCAAGAGGGGAAGTGCAGGGAGATGGGATAGCAGGCCTGGATAGGTACAGATGAAAAGATGGCTGCCTCCCAGAGACAGGATTTCATGGCTTCCAGACGGCGCGGGAATAACGAAAATGTATTTTGGTTCACTTGAGAGTAATTGCTTTCCAATTCTCTCTTCTAGGAAGCTTGGAATTCAATTCTTAATTGTAATGACGAAGTAATAACATGTTTATTTGCAATTTATACATGTCTATACACACACACACACACATATATACATATACACATGCACATTTCAAGGAGAGGTACTTTTGAGTTTTGCTTTGGCCTTTTATAAGGATTGGAAAAGTGATTGGGAATGAGAGAAGGAAATAAATGTGCTTTCACAGGAAGGAGAATATCCTCCTTTTAAAGCAGTTGTTTACTGCTGCTAATAAAATTCAGGTCCATTGCCAGGGAGAAATCAGTTGATCAAATGGAAAAGTTTGCTTTTATTTTTTTATCTGAAAGTGTACAGAACTGTATGACAAACTAATATATTTAGATATTTTCATTTTGTGTTTATACTTTACACTGAACCACTCCCTCCCCTCCTCTTGCGCTTACCAATGAGCAATCACTGTAGTCTCGCTTGGTAAGCAAGATTCTTTTTAAAATAAGGTATCCCTAAACAGTGATCACTTATCACTATCGATGCTGATTTTAAACAGTCTTAAAGTCTGCAAGTATAGAGGTCTATGAACAAAGTGTGAAGATAGACAATAAAACACTACTGAATTTTATTGGCAATTATAAGCTTAGCTAGCCTTTGTAAACTACAAGCACATACTAAACAGTGATATGAGAATGCACACAATGCAGCAAAATAGTGCCAGCAGGTTGATACTGCATATCAATCTTCAGCAACATTTTTGCCTTTTAACTTCATTAGCCTTTTTTTACTGATGATTGAGAGGAAGGGATACATCCTATGAAGGAGTACAGTAAATCGTTATAACCTTTTCTTCAAAGGGTGGATTTTACAGATTGCTCAAGACATTGCAAGCACATACAGTGTTTCTTAATACTTTAAGGCCTGTGCAATGGATTACTATAGTTTTGATTAACTTACCTTCTGACAAAGCAATAACTCATGGGTCTACAATGCACAGCACCTGCTATTTGCAACGTTAAATAAGTTCCTCAAAATATGGTCCGCCACCCAGTGCCAGTGTAGAATCCACAAGTTTCTTCTCATCTCTGCAGTACTGTTTTTGAAAGGAGGACTTATTTGGCTTTGAATTGCATAGGACTGTAGCAAAGGAACCTTAATGTCTCCATCCAAATTATCCAGTATGCATACCTAATAAATATCATAAACAAATACACCACAGCCACAAGCTGTTCTGTGATTCATACAAGTGGGTTTGCTAATTCAACCTGACAACTCAGCTGATTAGACAAATAAAGTGTCTTGGATAACACCAGTATCGATAATAACATTTTCCAAATAGGACAGCTGTATTTCAAGTTGAACGTAAATATACGATTGCAGACTGTTAAAGACCATGAAAAAGCCTGTACAAGAGCTAACAGGAAAAAGCAGGTATTTTATGAAAGACTGGCTCTTTTGTAGTCCTTGTTTGTATTGGTGGTTTCTGGCTGATACCTTAGTAAGGAGACATGTCAATGTATAGGGTAAACTTGTGAGCAAAGCACAAGATGCTGAGCTCTGCTGGGCATTTTAACTGTGGAAATGGCAACACAGGCTAGCCAAGAGAGGTGTTAAAGCTGCAAATGGATCCTCCTTTCTCCATTGCTCTGACCTGCCCCAGGAAACACAGTATGCCCAAGGGACAGGACAAGGATGAAGGACCAAGGCTGGAGACACTCACTGCGGCAGCCTCGCCGTGCATCAAGGGATGGGAGAGTGTACGGGCAGAGAAGGAGAAAGTCATGGTCATTAGAAACTCCTATGAAAAATAAAATATAAAGACAAAGGTTAGGAACTGCTGGTTTATATGGTGCATTGCAAAAGGATGTCACGAGCCCCCATCAAAGAAGCTCTTGGAACTCAAAGGAGACAATCTGTAATGTTTCTGATGCCTGCTTGAAATATTTAGCTGCAACTAAAGAGAACTAGAAAGCACTCAAACTGCTCAAGGGAGAATACTAAGATGAAAGAAGATACCATTAAGATAATTTTGCATACAGGAGATCAGTACAAGACAGCTCTTCTCTAAAAAGAAATAGCAATTTTGTGATCTTTAAAATTAATTTGGATACTCTCATTGCTTTTACAGAGAACTTTCCACAAAAAATTGAAATGGGAAAGGGTTTTTAGAATTAAGAATGATTTGAGATGATGTGACAATGTTCAAATGATGCTGTTACATTTGAAGAGTGAATTAGTCTCATTACCAGGCTCTTCTTTTTTTCAGTAGCACAGAATTTTTAAGAGCAATTTTGCAAAAATTATCAGAAATGTCCATTTATATAATAGCTTCCTGTTATTTAAAAAGCTTTTATTGACGCTATAAAGTGTAAACTACTTGAGAACATGAAAACTAACAATTGACAGTGGATTTGATATTATCCTAAAATTGAAAAAAATTAATGAGAATGATTTCATGAATTCTCAGTTGTTCCAAGGAGTCTGTTTCAAACCGGCAACTAGCAAAATAAGCAAATAAGCAAAATTTATTATGTTAGAGATTATTTTTTCCCAAAGCTCAAGATATTAAAATTGAGCCTAACATGTTTTTTTTTTTTTTTTTTTTTTTTGAACAGTAGAAAAGAGCCATCCAAAATCTGAAAAGTGCATATTAGAAACGGAGACTGATGGTTTTCCCCAGAAATAAGCAGAATAAGCATAGCACTTGAGGTTCCTTTTTATGTGCAATTTCAAAATGACGCAAAATGCCAACTTGTATAAAATGGATTAATATGTGCAGTGCTGGGAACCAAAAGCTGTGCTTGTCAGTGCACCTGCAACGGTACATCTTGGCCGAGGAAAAATTTAAACGTGTTACAGCTCCACCTACCGAACCAAGAAGAAAGGATCTGGAGGGGTATAATTGGTCAATGTAATGAACTGGAGCAACTGAGAATCTATGCAGACCCTGAGACAGATTTTTTATTGTTTTTGACACAGCTGTCTCATCAGCACTTACACTCCTGCTCAAGATCAGGTAGTATCAGATACAGTAAGCCATACTAAAGTAGTGGGAGCCACTCAACTTGCCCTATTAGAAGCAGCAGCCTGTTTTTGAAACTCCCAGGAATTTTAGCATACTCATTTCTGCATTTGCTTCTAGTCATTGACTAGCACAAAAGTCAAAGTTTGTATGCACACCCCTCACTTTAGAAGGATGGTGCTACTCTGATGGTTTTGATGAAGCAACATGTACTCTGTGTACTCAAGGACCATGAAGTGAACAAGCATTTGTTCCCCTTTTTGTTGTCCTTTTTTTGGTGTATGACAAAAACTAAAGAAAAGGTTGACCAACATGAAGTTCACTTTAAACTGGAGGAATAACATGGAGGGTAAAAAAAATCAACCTTGTAAAAAAATATAATCATGTAGTTACGGCTTTAGCAAAAGATTCACCTCTTTAGTCTAATGACAGCAAGCCTGAGTCAAGCCTGCTATTTCTATGAATGCTGGTCTCATATATGTGCCCTGTAGGTTCATAGAGTTGCTCAGAGCTAGAAATTCTGGGTATTGCAGAAACCTTTAAGACAACAGCAGGTCAGCCAAGTACTTTCCTACACCTTGGGACCATGTTGACAGCGGAGAAATAAATGAAAGATGTTGAAGCAAAAGTTCTTAGTCAATAACTAGTGTTTAGCACTTACTAAGAAAGGTACAAAGGAATGTGGCAACATAGCAGAATAGGAAAAGCATGAATAGCATAAATCTTTCATGCCACCTGAAAGATTCTTATAATTAGTCAAAATAGCGTGCTCTGACTCTGAAGGCCAGAACATTTAAGTACTGCACCTGAAGCAGTGCAGTGTTGAACAATATGACAGATAGAGAGGCAAATAATGAGGCATTTAGTCTAGAGGATTACCAGAGTCCAAACACCCCCAGAGCACTGGCAAGAGTGTAGAACAAAACATGCAGAATCTGGAACGTCAAAACAGAATGGTGATTTTTTAAAAAAAAGAACCTGTATGAAACATAAACCAAACAAGAAATGACACTGATAATAACTGTAAATTGAACATATGCCTAATGTTTTCATGCTGTAATTAAACAACCTAAGTGCAGGAGAGATGATAGCTGAAAAGAAAACATTTACATCAGTGAGTAGGGAATGTGGAGTCAGGCTCCTTGAAAGGTAGACACAATTGTGTGCATCTTGGTCCTGCATATAGTGTGCTTTGCTTGCCACTTGTCTGTCTAAAGGAATTTTCTTGACAAATATAGTCTGAAGTGCAGACTTGGATCCCAAGCCAGCAGAAAAGGCAAGTGTGGGAGGAAGGCAGCTGATAAGAAGCCAATCCTGAAATAGCCAGGAATGGATGAAGATGGCAGTTTCTATCGACACAGAGAAACAAGACTTATAAATTGGAAATTTATAGCATAAGCAACCCCTTTTTCATCTTTGATTCTTATGGACTCAGTGAATGAAGAAAAAGAGATATAAAAGCAAGGAACACAAACATCACTATTAAGATTGTTGGACAGTAATGACAGCATTCAGGACTCTTCTGAATTGATGTTTTGTGGAGAAGCTGAAGAACACGGAGAGCACATAGGTTTTAGCTGACATGAACAACAGACATGACTCTTTGTGACATTTCCACTATTGAACAAGTTACAAAACCAATTTATAAATTAAAAACAACGAAGAATCAATGGGATTGGTATTTTTTTGCCTTAAAGCTGCCTCTCCCCACTAAACAAAAAGATTTTGAAATAGCACACATTGGTGGAGGGAACAAAAAGAAGCAGGTAAAGACCAACTGAACAAAGTCCTAATCTCTTGGGTGAAAGAGATGATATATGGAGTTGATTAGATTTAATTTCATTCTAATATCACTTTCTCAATTTGTAAAAAATGTAAGAATGTAGCAGCACATTATGAGATCTAAAGAGATTTTGATTTCATAAGAAAAACGAGGAAAAGCAAATATAATATATTAAAAAATAGAATTGGCAATAGGTACTTAAAATAGAACAAATTACAGAAACGTCCATTAAAGATGACTGAGAACCAAGATAATGGGCTTAATATCTAAGAAGTGATTGAGCAAAGACAGAACATGCAAATGAACTGAATATAACCCTAGAAAGAGATGAGACTCTGAAAATTATGGGAAAACTGAATATTGTCACAATACCACATATTTAGAACAAAGGAATAGTCAGTTTATCTTCAAAACCAATTATAGTTTTTGGTACCTCAAAAGTTATTTTAATATTTACCTAACATTGGCAGCGAGGGTGGCGCTGAATGATTGTTGTTCCAGGAGTCTCTAATCACAATGCGGCGTGTGCTGCGGTGGCCGTGCAGCAGGGAGGGTCTCCAGCCTGATGAAAAATTACAAGTGACTTTCAGAGGTCATCTAGAAGTTACCAGTTAACTTGCTTTCTGCTGGAGAAACTGAAAGGCTTAGGTTCCTGCAATCCTTTCTGATCCAGAGAGCTTTCCAATTCAAAACAGGAAACTTGCAGGGACTAATTTTTTGATTAATTAAGAGGCAGATACCTTGAGACTCCAAGCGATGAAAAGCAACTCCTCAGGGCAGGAGCTAAGGATTTCACTATGTTAATACCACAACTCTTCAACATTCACTTTCTTCAAGCCAGTAGTCTTTAATGTGCCTCTTTATCCCTCTAACTTTGTGCTTAATATTTTCCAAAATGTCACCCACACTTTGATATCTTTCTCCCTTACAAGTGTACCTTTTAAGTTTTATGTGTGCCACTCTCTACTGGGCTCAACAATTGACTTTAGATATCTATTTTCAGCTTAAATGTTTAAAAAATTCACACAAACACTTTGACAGGTTGTGAATTTGCCCAAAAAAGCTTTAGTAACTGAATGAATTGTTTACAGCTTAGATTAGAAAACTTTGCCTAACAGGAACAGAGTACTTTATTATTCTTGAGCAGATATTACAAATGAGCAGTTACCACAATTAGAAAAAGGAATAGGAGAAATGCTAAATAGAAAATCATTATCATGATCCCAAACATTTTAATATAGATATCTAAAGCAGGAGAATTCCTTAAAAGAACCCTCAGTCAAGCTCAGCAGGATACAGAAAAGGGCACAAAGCAAGAATGACTGATGACAGTAAAGCCACTGGACAAATCTGAGACAAAAAAGAGGAAGGCCACAAGTTTGTAATCCAGTTTCAGAAGTTTGAGCTCAAAAAGTGGGTTCTGTGATTAAAATCTTGTTTTAAGGATAGGCAGGGTCATCATCCAAAACAAGCAGCAGACCCTTGGTCCTTTCCGATTTATATTGTTGGGCTCATTGGCTTGCTGAGTTTATAAAACACCTACTACAAGGATTTTTATAAAAAAGTGCACTTGTTTGAAAACAGGTGTGAATCATTTATGACATCCAGCTGTGTGTATGACAGGTACAATCTGCACCTCACCCTGCAGCAAACAAGCAGATTACAAGCAGCGGGCAGAGAAAGAGCACTCTGCTGGCCAAACACTATTAACTTGAGAAGACAGAAATAAGGTCAAGGTTAAACACTTCTGAAAAATTTACTTCCGGACTCCACAGCTACAAAAGATACAAGAAAATGTGTGCCTAAACAGAGGTAAACTTAATCCTGTTAAAAATGAAAGACCAGATCAAAATAAAACTCAACTCTTGCCGTACTGGGAACATCACACAGGGAACAGCATGTCAACACTCGTAATTTATCACTGCTGACAAAGAGGACTGGAAGAAAGTCTTCCTAAGAACTTGCTTAAAGCTCTTACAGAAGCTCTGGCACCAGCACTTACGTGCCACAGACACAGGCTGTAAAGCAAGATGAAAACGTATAAAGCTTTTTGTATGTTAGACCTGAATCTAAGTGACACAGGTGGAACACCCAGAAAACTGAGGACTACACTGTGCCAGAGTCTGGATCTTGAGGTTCCAGTATCTTCATTCGTCTGAGCTGCATTTCACACTCTGTTAAGTATTAACAGAAGCCTTAGCAGAGCCCTTTTACCCATACCTCATCTACAACAAGATTCAGCAGCATTTTACATGTGGTACAGGGTGATAGAGCCAATGACTAGTTTTTCCATTGAGAACCTGTGTTAACAGCTGGTAAATAATGGATTATTTCAGCTTGTACACTTAGTGTCTCTCTATGCTGATATCTGAGAGAGCTGGATCAGACCCCAGCTGGAGTGGGAATCTGTCCACTAATTAGGCATGGAAAGATTTACTTCAGGAGCAATTTTGTGTAAATGATATTTTAGAAGGTTAAAGTTCTCTTATAAAAGACCTACACAAGTGACCTATAATCTTATATGGCAACTTTTATACACTTTGGAGACAAGGAAAAAAAGGGACCATATTAAGATGATTATATTTTGTACTGTGTTTGCTGCCTTAGGTTGCAGTGGCTGCCAAGGCTTTTTTTCTTTGTCACAGGTGGTTACACTTAAGCAGACTTGCCTGCCAATGAGATTTGAACTTTGCTTAAATTATAAGTCACTCTGCCATCTAAGTTATTTCCCACCATGACAAAAAAGGTTATTTAAGCTTTCAAGTGCATTGGTTTGAAAATTAAAATATCTAAGGGTGTAACAATAATGCAAATCTACTCACCTGCATCTACAGGAAAAAAGAAAAAGGTAAGTGATTTGCGTCTGCCTTCTCAGCTTGAAGAAATGTTCTCAACTGTGGGTCAAAACACAATAATAGCTACATAGTCTTCTGGTGATTGTCATCCTGGAAGACTGAAATATTTGACACGTAAATAAGTTTACCTGCAGATCACAAAGTGAAAACTCTATTATTATATGGAGAATATGAGGTGCATAATAAACAAAGAACACACAATCATCACAGAGTTATTAGACTAAAGTGTCCTGGGTGCCCTCCTCATGCTTTGTGGGAAATAAGAGGATTATTTTAATTTTCCTTGAATAAGTTTAACAGACCCTTGCAAGGAAGCTTCAGCTGAACATTTTCACTAGGGGCGATTCTAACAGAAATAAACACTCACTATATTTGGCTAGAAACAAGATTTATAACAGAATACTGGGGCTGTGCAGGATGAAAACTTACCAGTTGGTGGGATTTAATGACAGAGGGGCAGGTCCATGGCATGGTGGTCCTGCAGAGTTCCTAAATCACGGAGAGGGAACTGCTGTCCTGCCTGAAAAGAGCTGTAATGAAGAGCAAGCTGGAAACAAGCACGAGTTGCTGGGAGAGACAGAGGTAGACTTGCTCCTCTGCTCTGCTCGCGTTGCTTTGTTAGTTCTTTCCTGGTTGCAGTTTTTAGCCAAAGTCTTTGGGAGACTCTCATGACAAAGGACAATGTCTGTTATGTTTCCTGCTTCACTGAGTGTGGCTTCAGGGAGCTCTTCTCCCATTTTCAAAGACCTCTGCTCCAGTACTAAAATTAAGCACCCTTTCCTCCCTGTGCTTTGTGCTCACCAGTGCTTCTTGCTGAAATCTGCCCCAAAGCATGGGAGATTAGCAGTGGAGACTGTGCAGAGAACACAGCAGCTGCCACAGCTTTTCCATAGATCTGTCTTTTGTAACCTCTATTCTTTTTATTTTTTCTCAGCTTCCCTTGGTCACCAGTTACATCCTTGCTGTTTAGTCTATTCTTCTGTTCTAGGAAATGTTCAACATTTCTTAGAAATTCCTTCTAAAAATTCTGAATCAGTATTTATTGACATATCTGGCATTCTCCCTAGCTAAATGTTAAGAAAAAGAAAAAAAATCCCAGCAACTTTGTACTTTCTTCTAAAAGTATTACTGGATGGTGCATGTGATAGTGTGTCAATGATGCTTTATAAAAGCTTTCTGAAACTACAGTTCTTATGGGTCTGAAGACACAAAAATACCAGTGAATAAAAAATCAAAATAAATACAAAGACTAATCACTAAGCAAAGCCTTCCCTATTTCCAGTATGGTAACCTCCTTTTTAAGAGCTGAACTTGCCTCTTTTTTATCCCCGAGGTAGTTTTTGTCCAAAACACAGGCAGTGCATTTATTTATTTTTTTTTTAAAACATTTTCTGTAGTGTTCATCCAACCTCACTGAAAAATAACTGAGTATTACCATAATGCTGTCCCATTTAATTTCCACAACCAAGCCTTGTTACTGCCTCCATATTTCATTTCATTTCCACAACCAAGCCTCCATATTCCTTTTTATTAAAAAAAATAGCACAATCATTTCCATGCTATTTGTCACCTCCAGAGGTGTTATTAGCTTGCTGTAATAACAGACCATGTTCCTGCTGTGTCTGCTAAAGAAATTATCCCAGTAGCCCAATGAAGGTATGCCACCTGCCCAGCATTCAAAGTGGTTCTGTATATAGCTGAGCTCTCCATTGCTCTAAAGTTTAAGCGATAAATAAAAATTAAAGTTCCTAGAGAAAAATATTCATTTTTCAAATACACACACAGAGCGCTATTATTTTCTAAGGTCTACTTCAGTTCAGACAAAATTGTGGAAGTTATAGAGCCCTCAGATTGGCCCAGTTGGTTAGAATTTTAGGTCCCAGTCGTGCTAGGAAGGTACTTGATCACTCTAAAAGTATTAGGAAAACTATCTGAAATAAAAAAAAGCATGCTCCCTACACTATTTTTTAAGAATAGGAAAGAAATGTTCTTACCCTTTGATTTCTTTTAATTGAGAAATCATAAATGAAAGAATTACTTGCAAGATAATTAGCCTCACAAAAGAAAGAATGAGAAGAGTGGCAATTGTAATGAGTTTTTATTAGGGAAATTAAAAACAGAAGAATCTGCTAACAGTTAGATTTCATTTTATTTTCAAGACATAGGATCAACAGTTTTGAAATGTATGTTGTTGACTCCTATTTCTGCAGAGATCTTTTCAAGGGCTACACCTGAAAAAGGTACAAAATTGGCTGATCATCCAGATACCAACCTATGGAAATCAGCTATAGACCTACAGTGGAATGCCCTAACTTCTTTGTTATTATAATCTTGCATCCTAAAGAACTGGATTCAGATCTGTTCCCTACCACACATTCATTGACTGAATGTCAATAAGAAATCAAGTGTAGAACTAAATATCAGCTGACAGCACTGTACTTCTCACGGGGATGCTGTCTTGGAAGGTTCTACTAAAATTTATGATGCACTCAAGTGTTATTTGACCTTCACTGCCAAATTCTCAAAATATGTAAAACATTAACTAAGATAAGGAGATCTGGAATGCTTGAAGCAGTTGCACTGCTTCATTATCTCAAGGAGAAATGACTAAACAGCTGAGAGAGAAAATTTACTTTTCCAACAAAAGAAACCTTTTTTCTCTTAATAAAAAAAAACCAAACTCAACCCCCCAAAAAACTCCACAAAACACTGAAGAAAACTACAGCACGCTTCCAGGAAAATATCAATCACAAATGGAACTTGTACAACATTCCTTATCTTTGTTTGTCTCTCAGTGCTGTCATCATGAGCTGTTATTACAATTATTAATAAACCAAAATTTTATGGAACACCCCAGATCAGACTTGCTACTATTCACAGCCCTTTCTCATGAGAGATTGTTATCTCAATAACCTTATTATCGAGTTATATATTTGGAGTAGCAATGTTACCAGAGGCAACACAAAACCACATGAAAAGCACATCTGAAATTTAAATCCATGCTTTGGTGTATTTCAACACATGGCATGCAGCAGGGCAGAAACAGAACATCTAAAACCAAATTGTTCTTCTGCAGTCACAGTTTCCCGTCCCTGGTAACTGCTTTACAGAAATATGATGTTTATTTTAGGGTTTCTTGTTTGTGTTTTTTTCCCCTAACACACCTGAAATGTTTTTTGAGGTTTTTATTTTTTTATACTTATGGTATGAAGATACTCACCTTTTTTTTTTTTTTTATTGTTGTACTGGGATCACATCTCTCCTCAGCAGATGCAAAGCTGAAATTACAGATGCAGAGCACATACTGAAAATTGCTTGGTTTTCTTACTTCAGGCCTGGATATGAGAAAATATCCATCAGTTGTTGTGGTCACTTCTTATTCACAGGCATTTAAACACACCAGTATATGAACTACCAGGATTTAAAACAATGTTGAGTCTCATCTGTACGGAGATTGAATTCTTCGCCAGACTTCTGCTCCATGGGTGTTTTCACAGGGGCATAGACCTGCTCTCTTCTGTCCTTGCCAGTACTAGGGACAGGGACATAAAAAACTTCTTGTGAAAGTATAAGAGTACACTCTACTGCAGTACACATCTACCTTTCTCCTGTGCACAAAGACCAGGCACAGCCTGTTTACTCCATTTGTTTTTCCCTTGAGCAGCAAAGGATCAACCAACCTTTGAGTGAGAAGGGTTAATAATGAGAGCACTATTCAAAACAATATAAACAGTTGATCACTTAAATATCTATGAGTTTTAAATTTGATCAGATTGAAGTTAACTCAAAGCTATACCCAAACTGCTTATGTGGTAACTAAAGAAAATCAAACTGCCTCATTAAGATCTCCTTTTTGAGAAAATGTGTAAGAGAAGGGCTTATGCCATTGCCTCTTCTTTTTCAGTGAATAATATGAAATCTTTTCCTATTTGCATGCAATAAAATCAGGAAAGAGATGATTACTCTCAAAAGCTTGTTATCGAGATGTTACTCTATTTTAAAAAAGATGGAAGCATATCTGATGCCCCTTTTCTAACATGTTCAAATTAAATTTGGAGTAATAGTGCTGTTGTATTCATGATAATTTGAGGATAAACTAGGGTTCTGGAGAAAGGAATAACTATTTTAATCCCAGGGCTGCCCTGTGGAATTTATGTACCAAGGAAATTTTCTGGGTTTTGTACCTAGATCAGTCAGAAACCACATCCATATAAAGCAACAATATGAGTAACAATTGACAGAATTCTTCTGAAAATCTATGAGACAATAGGAAGCAGGATGATTAGAAAAAATATATTCCTGAAACATTCCTTAGAAATAACCAGAAAGCACGTATTCCAGAGCTTCACCTGAATTATTAGCAACAACTGTAATCTAAACACTGAACAAGATAACTCATCAGTTTTTCACTACCCACAGTCATATAACTTCATTCTGCTTGATTTTTTGAATTTGTCATTAAATGAACAACTTTTTAAGATAAGAGACAATTGGTTAGCAAGGCTGTGATTTAAAAGCAAGTCCTTGGACTTAATCTGTTGTCAGTAGCTAATAATCTTGGAACCTCAAACCCGTTTAGAAAAGTTTCCAGGAGAAATGAAGTCATTTGCTTCCTCTGAAACACAAACAGCCTTTTCATTTACTGAGTTGTGCCTTTGAGGCATTCATTAGATAATACCTTGAATTGCGCAATACACAGTTTCAAACACATAAAGCATTTTTCTTAGTGCTATTATCATTCACGATACTTCAGAACAAAACAGTTGTCAGAACTCAAGTGTATATTATTATCTGTTCAGCCAGGTGGGCATCTAAGACATTTTCCCCCTGCTCAGCAAACTCAGTACAGCTAACACATGCACTCCTCTACCTGTCCCATGTCACTGACAGCAGCGAGAGATGAATTTCAGAGACAACAGGCCGAATTCCAATGCCCTGAACTGCTGTCTACTCACATAAAACCATAAATATTAAGCTTTATTTACGAATTAGCCAATATTTGCATCGTATTTGACGCAATGCTCTGGATACTTCAGTAGCATGAGTATGTTGATCTTCAGTATTCAGAACAGGTAAGGGCTGTTTCTAATGTAAGGAGAAACACCTTTAACAGCAGGTGTTATACTTGAGATCAGACAGCTAATTGGCCACATCAGAGACCAGACTGTGATCTGCTGTCCCATGGCAAAGGACACACAAATATGCAGATTCAGAAGCTCTGCTAGGCACTGATGCCTGCTGAAGCCAATGAAGAGGTCTGCTTCTCAGGAAAATCCACATACTCAATGTCTTTCAAAGGCTTAAATACAAAGAGCTGGCTTGCAAGAATACCTGGGAACCCCATTTTGGGAACAGCTTATTTTCAGCCTGTGCAAACCCAAAGAAAGCAAGAGACAGATTTTGCATTATCTACTTGACATTGGCACGAAACAAACGAGATATCAAATGACAAAGACACCTTTTTGTTTACAAGGCTATTTGGCTACTTGAAAAAGAGCAAATGGTGTCTTGAAAAGAGATATATAA